GCTTATTAATTTAAATGGCACACATGCACTTACCTAAAAGAAAAATGTGGTTAAATGTCAAGGGCAAAATGGTTACAGTATATGGACCGTCTCATCTCTAACTTTCAGTTAGCAGGCCAGACCTTAATCTACTAAACTACACCTCCCCACACGAACAATACCATGGAACAAGCACTGGGTCAAAAAGCCCACAAGAGAGACGGTCAAAATTTTATGTTACACACACCCACACAATGTATGCAAGGAAGTCAGCGTGAGTCATTATGTGGAATTGCATATATGGGCTGGACCTCAGAGGTGTTAATGCTCAGTACTAACACCTTCAACCACATACTGTAAACCCTGGTAACAAGCACACAACCACACACTCATGCAATGTGGAAAGGGATCAGTACAGGAAAGCCAAAAAAATTGCCTGCAGAAAGGCTGTGTCTGTGTTTGTTTGAGCAAGTGTGTGTGTATGAGAGGGAGAGAGACATAATGCATGATGAAAGGACAGAGATAAATCAGTAGAAAAAACATGAGAAGACATTTATAGAGACAGAAAGACAAAAGACACAACAGCAACACTCTAGAACTTTATATCGTTACACAAAGCACCTAAACTACACACAACAGCATACAGTTCATTTTCTCAAACAATGTTAGTGTCCAGTTCTGTCATGCCACCTTTTTTAGGTCACATTTCACCCTTGTGTGTGATGGACAATGAGCAAGATCTGTGTATTGCACTGTAGGGCTGTCAAAATGGCTGAAAAACTAAATTCGAATTTTGTGCTTAAATATTATCAAAATTCGAATTATATTCAAATTTAAAATGCATAATTTCAGTTAGGGAAAAGAAAAGCTTTTGGCTTTTCTCCTGAGGCCACAAGAGGGCGCATTGAGCATAAGATAACATAACTATCTGTCAAAAAAGTGCATAATGTTTAAAATAATGTTTATAAACCAATTATAATTATTAAGTTGCTTAAACAACTATAAACAAAACAGCAACATGTATGCATTCATAGTTTAATACAAAAGGCCGAAAGCCAATCACACGGAGTACATTTTTCGATTAAAAACACGAGTTGCAGTGGGATGGGGAAAAAATCCCGCCATTAAGTCTCGAGATATGTTTTTTCAAAGTTGAACTTGCATTAATTTTACATGGCTTTCTAAATATGCGGTTCTCTTGTGCGAGACGCGAGTGCAACGGTGATAAATGCGCGAAATATGCGTTCTGTGTGAACGGCTTGGCTTCAGTTTTGACGTAAACAAGATCTTCTCCGCATTGATGTTCTCTTTTCCCGCAATATTTGTAATCAACAACGCAGCAGCGCCACATCTAGTGGCTTCAACTGGATAGGCTAACAAAAACATTAAAATGTAATGACACTTACATCGTCATCGCATCTCGTGCACCACTGATAAGGCAGCCAGCCTCCTTAACGCACACCTAAAATTCGAATGCAGCGTTTTTGCATTCGAATGTGGATTTTTATATTAAATTCGACGAATATTCGAAATCAAAAAAAAAGTTTTGACAGCCCTATTGCACTGTGGGAGATGCTGTTTCAAAAGGCATCTCCAAATGCAAAACAAACTCAAAGGGAATGTGTATGTGGTGGTGATGGGTGTAACAAGCTAGGGCCAATGATAGAGGAGAAGAAAGGGCAGAAGAGAGGCACAGAGAAACGGAAAACATTAAGAAAAGCATTCTTACCTGGCATCTGCTTCACTGTAGTACTCTCTGGCTACAATGTCTTCAAACAGTTCACCTCCAGTCACCCTAAAACACAGGAAGTTCAGCCTGGCTATTTGCTAATTCAAACAGAATTCCTGTTCTAGTGCATGTCCCTTCCTAGAGCTCAGTTTCCATGGAGACGAGAATCCAATGTAAAAATTCTCCAGAAAGCTAGAACTGTGAAAACCAAGTGGAAGGTTTTTAGGATTCACAAAGACGGCATGCCTTTGGGGAGGCACTTTTTTTTTTTTTTTTTCCCATTTGATACCCTTATTATCAACATGTTTTAGTTCAGTTCTTACAAATTATAACTCATGAAGCCCATGTATTCTTAAAAGGATGGTTTGTGAAAAAAATTTAAATTCATAAAATGGCTTTTGAAGACTCTGAATACAGCACTCCAGTGTTGGTACTGTAAAAATAAGCTATTAAAAATAGTTTACGGTCATTTAAATAAAGCTGAAATAAAATGATAAAATTATGAAAACTTAAACTGAAAACTGAAATGAAAATAAATTCAAACCAAATGGAAATATTAATAAAAAAACTAATAAACTTGACAAAAGCACATAAAAATACTGAAACTAAAATTAAAACGAAAACTATAATAATTCAATTCAAATACTCTAATAGCATATAAATAATACTGAATGACACCACAGAACATGTGTCATACGTACTACTTTGTTTATCATTTTTGGAGCTTGACAGACACTAGTTAATATCCACTTTCATCAGAAAACAGCAGCCTGAATGACAGCTAGATGTTTTAAAGTTCTCTTGGTAATTTCCTACTTACATTCCATCGTAATTATGATTTATTTTTTTCAAATTTGTATGTCCAATCAATCAAAATAAAATGAATGCGTTGGCCAATTTTATTATCTATACTTTCTGTCAAAGATACTGTATGAGCTTTATTATAGTACAGCAAAATTAAGAACAATAGAAATAGAGCTTTGGCGATTAGATGCATTTTAGGTGTGGAATTGACGCTTTATCAGTGTATTTTATGAAAACATGTTTTTCCATGCAAGCCTGTCAACCGTATATAAACAGGCAAATGAGTAGTATTTTCTGGCAAATTTGATCACTGGTCTTCATAACCAGTACACATAATGCATATAAATTATATTATAACAATAACAATTTGTGCATGTGTCCTCATATCATAAATACAATCATTCCAACATGACCTGAAGGCTGCAGTGCTCTTTTTGTGTTCATTTAGTGTTGTGAGAGTGAGCAGATGACATCCGTTTAACAGTGCAGAAAAACAGAATGCTGATAAAAGGCTTCAGAGGCACATAACATATGAAGTATGAATCATTTTAAGCTGCACTCTTCCTCGCGTCAAAGCTAATTTGATGACAGGAAACGGAGGAACATTCTGACAGGAAGTACACTGACACTTACAAATCAAACAGTAGGTAGTGGAAGCCCTCCTCTGATATACTGTCATGCAGACGAACTAAAACAAAAACAGAGAATTGAAGTTAGATTTTATTGTGGCTGTAGGGACAAAAATCACACAACATCCACCTGACCTGAAAGTCTGAAAATAATCAACTGTCAAAAACCCATTTTGAGTTTAAATGCTTAAAATGCACTTCAATAATATACATGTCTCTGATTCTAATTGGTGGAGGTATAGCTCACCGATATTGGGGTGTTTCAGCAGACGACAGATTCGAGCTTCTCGTTCGAGCTTCTGATGGTCTGAGGGTCAAACACAGAAACACACAGAAAGTGTTGTAAGCAGTAATTATAAATCACTGAACGGTGTGATATTAGCTGTAAAGAAACAGCCCAACAGTAAGGATGGACTAATATTAAAATGCTGGTCGATATTGATAAGCCTTCTTTTATATATTTTGTTGTTGAAGCTACATGTACTAACACAATAAAATGCTAAAAAATGAAATAAATATTTCGTTAATATGAATTTAGGGATCACAATTTTACAATTTAAAGTATGAAACACAGATAATCATTTTGAGATCTGCTTAATCTAATCCAAATATAAAAACAAGCAACAACAAAAAAAACATGCATATTTAAATATCTGTCAATATATATCAAATACTGATAAATAAAATAAAATACAATAAAATAAAATAAATCTTTTAACTGACATGGTACCAATAAACTGTGCATTTCAAATATTGTACAATTTTGGGTAGACTTTGAATAAACCAAGTTCAAAATAAACAAAGCTTCATAGCCATCACATTGGTCCTAGCTCCAATATAGACTTACAAGCCATGTTTCCATTGGTAATGACATAATCACAAACCTGATATGCCATTATGCTTTTTAATTATGTCATCACTATTTCCGGTGTTGAGTGTTGAGCATTTGCCACAAAAACATGAGAGGAGGCAGCAATCACAAACTATAAGCTTGTCAGAGTTGCGCTAAATCAACATCCTAGATCTCATTCAGTCTTGATAAAAGGGTCAGAATGGCCCAGAATCTAGGGTGGCTAGATAGAGACTCAACACAATGTTTAGATGTACACCTTCACTTTTACTCCAGATTAGATTTAAGGTTCAGACGGTGAAAACAAAGCTAATATCTAGGGGTGTGACGGTTCAGATTGCTCATGGTTCGGTATTTGCTTTGTTCAGGGAAAAAAGGACAATGGTCAAATAAAAATAAATAAAATAATAACAAATAATCAAACTAGATGCAACAGCACAAATAAATACAATAGAGCAAAGATACAAATAAAATAAACAGTGTTTTTCAGGTGTTTAACCATAATTTTCAGGCACAGAAATTTTAAAGTAAACAAATGTAAAACAACAGTGCATATTTCACTGTATAAAATAAAGACCAATCCTTGTTGAAGTTACAAAAGCTATTCAATAAAGAGAAGTGAGTGATTTCCTTGTCTTTTGTTGTTTAACATTAAATTCAGTTTCTAAGATCACATAAGGAATATAAAATGCATTAAGCCTACACAATTCTATCTTTTGCTTTTTGTCAGTGTCAACACAGCACGCGCTAATCGCTGTACATCCACGCTAACCATTAGCTTGGGGACTTATATGTAGCTGTAATATCAAGTTTATACAACATTATGCACAGAGAAAGTTAACTTAGTATAGTTAGTGTACGGTCTTGTTCACAGCTTAGTTGGAACAGTTTGACATTTTTTGCACATTAAATGCTTGTAAAGGAAGTTTTGTATTGCATCGCGCGAACCAAGGCATACAAAGATACATGCAAATGCACCCACAGAAACATTTTCAGATACAATCATTTCACAACACCAATAATAATAATAATAATAATAATCTGTAAAATAATCACTTACTCCTGTCTGTTCTTAGCACATCAACCATCACTCATCAACCAATCACCAATGTAGATATTTACTCGCATTTGCAGGAACCATTAATTTGGCCAACCACAAATTCTAACAGTCAACCTGTCACCACGGCTGTGACGCCGACAGTGTTAGAAGCGTGCCAATTACAAATCTTTTGGTCGATCTTACCATTAAACAATTAACATTTGCATGACGATATCAGCATGTTATAAATAAAACCTATAGTTCGACACGTCACGGTCCCGCCATTGACACAGAAGATGATGAATCAATCCCGCGATTCCCTCCTGGACTTTGACGCATGTGCACTTTACGGTGTCAGAGCTAATATTTTGAGGTATATATTACTTAATTTTTTTAGTGTTACAGTTATTACTGTTAACAAATAGGTAGTGTAGGTAGAATTTGCCAATTATTATATATTTTACTTGCCAACTAATATACTTACAGTTAGGGGTGTAACGGTTCAGATTGCTCACGGTTCGGTTCAGGGTTTTAGGGTCACGGTTCGGTACAGTTCAGTTTGGTATGTGCTATGTTCAGAGAAAAAAGGACTAAAATAAAAAAGAAAATCAAATCAAATAATCTAACTAAATGCAACGGCACAAATAAATACAATAGAGCAAAGATACAACAGAGTTTTTCAGGTGTTTAACAGTAATTTTCAGGCACAGAAATTTAAAAGTGAACAAATGTAAAATAACATTTTTCACTGCATAAATTACAGACCAATCCTTGTTGAAGTTACAAAAGCTATTCAATCAAGAGAAGTGAGTGATTTCCTTGTCTTTTGTTGTTTAACAAACAGACAGCAAGAATAGACTGCTGTTCCTTTAAGACATAATTCACAGATCCAGTACACTGATACTGATACACATGCGTGTTCTTTCTCGACTTTTTACATTCACTTAGGTCTGGGCGATAAAACGGTATCGATATTTATCGATGGTACACCTTCTTCGATAACGATATAAAAAATGTTATATTAGTTGATTTTAAAATAAACATTTGCATTTGAATGCAAAAATAGTACAATCAAATGTTAGGTGTGCATCAGCTTCATCAGTGGAGCACGAGATGCGGTGATGATGATGTAAGTGAGGTTGCATTTTAATGTTTTGTTAGTCTAGCCCACGAGACGCGCTGCTGCTGTGTTATGCATTCAAAATATTATTAGTTAAAAAATATAGTGGTTAAATTTAAACATTTTTTTCTATTGCTCTTTGTTTTAAAAAGGTTATAAAAAATGTCAATAATTATCGATACCGAACGATATGAAACATTATATCGTTGATACATTTTTTAGCTATATCGCCCAGCCCTACGTTCACTTAAGACACGGCCAACGATGTTTGCAAGGATACTCACAAAGACGGGCATGTTGACATACTTTTTGTGTTAGTTTGTCAATTCAAACGCAAGTCCTGAAAGAGAAATCAATATTTGCACGGCACGCACTGTCTGATGAGGCTCTCCATGTATGCATGCGCTACGGATGAGTGCACGCACACACACATCTTCAAACAGTGCGAATTCTCAAGCACTTATTCTTTGCTTGCATGTTTAAATTGACAAGGCTTAAAAACACATGCAAATTAGTATAGTTTAAACACAGATAGTGTGTGCGGTTCATGTCTCACCTGCACTTGCGCACTTTCAACACCCGGGTGATGAAGGCATAAATGACGGTTAAAACTAGCGTGCATGTGGTATTCTGTGTTGTTTGTCCACATTTTTTGATCATCGCTGTTGTAATGTGGGAAGCCAATAGGTCTGTTTTATGCGCTGTTATTTTCAACAAACCATATTCTACATGCATCGTCAGATTTGAGATGAGCTGTAGTGCAAGTGGGGTCAACCTCAAGTGGGCCAGGGCTGTGGGTGGGTGCGGGGGCAGATCGCGGTACCGCGATACGTATTGTGGGTGATGTATTGCAGTTTTTCGTTCCGTTTGAATATTGTTACACTCCTACTAATAGGGCTGGGCGATAAATCAATAACGATAATTATCACACAATATAAATTTCCTCGATAAATGATAATAAGAGGTCGATAAATTTTCGATATAATGTTTATGAGGCAAAGGCGGAACGAAAGAACGCAACTCATTTGAAGCACGTCACTCAGACCGTTTATCCGCTCGGATCAAAGTTTAAATGGTGGCGTGGCGCAAGCTTCACTAGAGCAGATGCGTTCACTCACGCGAGCGAGCGATAAACAGCGCTGTGAGATCCAGTGTGAAGCACTTGAATTCAGGGAAGGACACAAATGACTCGGTTTATAGTCAGATGAAACAGAGCTGACAAACAGGAGAAACACTGTGCGCAACGATACAGTCAGAAGACTTTTTAATCTACAAATCGCCATCATTTACCATGGATTTACTGTAGTAGCACTAACTGCACCATGGGATTGTGTCAGACATGTGGGCATTTTTGTCGTATTTATATTATTAATGTAGACATGTTTTAAATGTATTGAAGGAGGAGTAATGGAATATAATTACAGTATTTTTTGTGATTAAGCTATAGCGTTTATGCATTTATACTACATTTATTTAGACTAGCTACTGTTTTTCATACAAATACCTAAAAACTAGGGCTGTGTATCACCAGCAAAGTCACGATACGATACCTATCATGATACAGAGGCCACAATACGATACGGGACTGCACTGAATTTCACCTCAGAAGAATTTAGTAAAACAACTGTTTATTAAACACGGCATACTATAGGGCCATTGCTAACTATTGGCAGAGCAGGCAGTTGACCTCTGCATTATGAAGGGCGTCCATAACTGTACCACAGTACAATATAATCAATGGCATATGTTTCATGTTTACATTGTGCACTCCCCACCCTACAATATTTTGACTGTTTGCATCTTGTTTTTTAAGCCCATAAATAATAATGTACTCGTTCTAATAAATTTATATTGTAATGTACTCATTCTAATATATTAAAATCATCTTAACATTGCTGGTAGGTTATCATTGCACAAATCAACACACTCTCTACGTTTAAAAAATAAAAATTAGAAGAGTTCTAAACTAATGCGCTGTCTTCACTGTAGCTCACGCACATACGTTTAGTCAGATCACTCTGCGCGCTCGCACAGACATTCTTTAACTTTTTAGCGCTGCCCCGCAATTTTATCAATAAAATAGCTTAATTGCTGAAGAGCTACATTATCTTTCTCAACATGGAGCTGGTAACATCAACTTTTCTGATAATAGAATATTGAAGTGGAGATCGCTAAACTGAAAGCTAACCGGTGTTTACAGAAAGCAAGCGCGTTTATGCTCAGTGGAGAGAGTGCACGTACACATGGTTGCCAGGTTGACAAAGATAATTAACACTTAATAGATATTCCCATATTGCG